TAATAAAAAAAACTTTCAATGTGATGGAGGTGGAGAGTTCACCACACTTGAATTTCTTAATCACATTGATCATTGTGGAATTCAATTACAAATTTCATGTCCTGGACTCCAGAATAAAATGGAATTCCCAAAAGAAACATCGACATGTCATTGAGACAAGTTTGACCATGTTACTTCATGCTAATTTGCCATTATCTTTGTGGATTGAAGTTTTTCTTGCAACTTTCTATTCAACTAACAGGATACCATCATTGTTTTTACATAAAGAATATATATATTCTAAGCTATATCCCAAGGGACTAGATTATAAATGCTCGCGGGGTGTTGGGATGCTTATGTTTTCCTTCTTTAATACATCAAGGAAGAAATAATTTGTCAAAAAGACTTATCCACATGTGTTCATTGGTTACAACCCAATTCATAAGGCTATCAATGTTATAAGCTTCAAACAAAGAGATTTTACATCTCAAGACATGTTGTATTCGATGAAGTTTCCTTACAAACCATCTCAATTAGAACTTGCTAAATTTTTTTACTAATGATGAATGGTTTAAATTCATAACATACATTAATCATACAAATGTACAATCTAAAACATAATCAGTAATACAACCATTTATTGTGAGTACTGTTGCTGGTTGTGATGAAAACATGGTTGAACCTTTTGATAATCATGATAATTTAACTACTAAATCATCAAAGGCATATTTTTTGTTGAAGAAGCTCATGAAAATAGTAAAGAAACTCTTGACATCATGATCATGTAACCATTGAAAATAATGAAGTGATCTCTAACATTGAAGCACATCAAGAAAAAGGAGAACATATTATAGCAAAACCAATGAACACTCATGGAATGCATTGAATGATGAAATTAAAAACAGTATTAGTAATATTTATGTTCATCCTCGATGCACTAGGCAACCTCCAAAGCATTTACAAGACTATGAATGTTATTTTTCGCAAGCCACATCACCCACTGAACATAAGAATCACCACTTAGCATTTAAGGATCCTCGATGGTTGATGACCATGGAAGAGGAATTAAATGCTCTTTATTAAAATTAGACCTAGTCAATCATTCCTCGACCACAACATGAATGTTGTTAGATTAAAGTGGATTTATCGTATTAAGCAATATGATGATGGATTAGTGGAAAGATTCATGGCTCACCTTTTTGCCTGTGGTATCCTTCAAGTTTCAGGTATTGATTTTGAGCAAACTTATAGCTCAATTATTCACCACACTACAATCCACCTTCATAGCTCTTTTCATATTGCTAAAGTGATAAATGCAACTTGCTGTGAAGAATGCTTTTTACATGGAAATCTCAAAAGAAACCATGTGTATGAAGCAACCGCTTAGTTTTGTCAATCCACACAAACCTGGTAATGTATGTCTCCTCTAAAAGAGTAGAGAGAATAATTAAGGTTTGAACTTGTATTTCTATTAATGATTAACTCTCTTTAAATAGAGAGGTCTGTAAATACATTCAGTTCAAAGATATTATCATATAGCTATACACTTATCAATATACACAGCAATTACAAATTCAAACTCAAGACTTATCATATTGCTTAACACTCCCCCGCAAGATTGTGGTGCCACTTCGAACACCAATCTTGAACTTGTTTGATACGAAAACCGATTTAGCCAATGGTTTGGTAAGAAGATCAGCTAATTGGTCTTTCGATGAGACATGTGCTATGCGCAATTTCTTCTTCTGAACTAAATCTCGCACAAAGTGAATATCAATTCCTATGTGCTTCATTCTACAATGATACATTGGATTTTGACAAGCATAAGTTGCAGACAAATTGTCACAGTAAAGTATCAGATATAGGATTGATGATCTCGAATAACCAAGCTCAGACAATAATGATCGAACCCACACTATTTCAGATGTTTTCACAGCTTGGTATTCTGCTTCTGTTGATGACCTTGCAATTGATTTTTGCTTTCTAGAGGACCATGAAATAGGGACCGAACCAATATAAAGGATAAATCTAGCGGTTGAAAATCTATATGTAAGATCACTTGCCCAATCGGCGTCTGAAAAAGCATGAAGATCAAGAGAAGATTGTGGAGTGATTAAGATACCATGGTTAATAGTAGACTTCAGATAACATAACAACCGCTTTAATGCATCCTAATGAGCTGCTGTTGGACTATGCATATACTCAGATAGCTTGTTAACCGAAAAACAAATATCAAGACGAGTCCATGTTAAGTACTATAATGCAATAATAAGCTTTCTAAACCCAGTAGCATCAACAACTGAATCTGAATTTGTATTTTTAACTAGAGTAGTTGTTGTTACAAAAGGAGTTGACACAAGCTTCGCACCATCCATCTTAGCAGCAACTAGTAATTTGCTAACATAATGATGTTGTGATAAGAACATTCCTGCTGAATTGGTATGTATATCAATACCCAAGAACAAGTTGAGTGATTTTCTGGTTCTTTCAAAGAGAACCGTGCTGCAAGCTCACTGACAAATGATTTAATGAAAGATTTACAACTCCCTGTAAGAGGTAAATCATCAACATATACCAAAAAGAAGCATACCACATCATCCTTGTGAAATATAAATAGTGAATGGTCACATTTAGATTGAATAAAACCAAACTGCAAGGCACAATCTCATAGAGCCTGGTACCAAGCCCTCAGTGCTTGACAAAGACCATACAAAGCCTTTACAAGCTTAAAGGCATTCTCGGGTTTAGCTGTATCAACAAACCGAGGAGGCTGCATCATAAAAACTTCTTCCTGCAAAGGGCCATGTAAAAAGGCGTTATTAACATCCAATTGACAAACATCCCATCGATTTGTAACAGCAAGCCTGAGCATGATATGAATAGTAGCAGGTTTCAAGACTGGACTAAACATATCTCCATAATCCACCCCCGGTCTCTGACTATAAACTTTCGGAACTAAGCGCTCTTTATACTTAGCAACTGAACCATTTGGATTTTTCTTCACATGGAAGACCCACTTGCAACCAATCAAATTCTGATTACTATCTGGAGGAACCAAAAGCCAAGTACCATTAGTAATTAAAGCATTATACTCTAAAAACAGGCTGATCGCCATTCAGGAACACTCAAGGCTTGTGACACACATGTTGGTTCAATAGAAGAAGGTAAAGGATGTTCAGTAGCTTTATGAATGATTTTCGGCTTGAAGATGTTGTTTTGTGATCTTGTGTGCATGGAATGAGTATGCACATTTGGACCTAGACGACGACTCTAATGCAGGAACATATTGTTGATTTTGAAGGACTTAAGAAGTTGATTCCGATGCAATAGAGGATGAAGACACGATTGGAATATTGGACGACTCAATCGAAGTGGAGACAACAGGAGGACTCAAATGATTTGTATTTGAATTGGAAGGATGAAACAGAACCTCTATTAAAGGAAGAGTATTGCTATCAATTTGATAATGGTACCAAGAGTTTGGATTAGACACTACTTCCAATGAGTTACTCTGACCTGGAAACTCACTTTCATTAAACACAACATGACGTCAGACGTAGACCTGACCTTGATTAAAATCAAAACATAAATAAGCGCTTTGACTCAAAGAATACCCTAGAAAGATACATGGTTTCGATTTTGCATCAAACTTATTCTTAGTGTAGGGTTTGAGACATGGATAACATAGGCATCCGAAAACACGTAAACTAGAGTAATTTGGCTGCTGATTCAAAAGCTTGAAGTATGGTGAGGAATAATTAAAAATTGGAGTTGGCAACCTATTTATTAAATAGGCCGCTGCTTGAAAGGTGTAAAACCAAATTTGGATGGTAAAGACGCAGAATGAAGAAGAGTTAACCCTGTTTCAACAATATGTCTATGACAATGTTCAGCAGTACCATTATGTTGCGGAGTATGTGGAGGAGTTTGAAGATGAGTAATACCATTAGCCCGAAAGATTGATTTTAAAGCAATGAATTCCCCTCCCCTATCAGTATAAACTGAAATAATTTTTGAAGTTTGTTCTCGATAAGTTTTTGGAATGTAGGGAAAATTAAAGAAACATCAGACTTAGATTTCAATGGATAAAACCATATGTATTTTGTAAAATGATCCGCAAAAATCAAGTAATACTTAAAACCATCAATAGATTCAACGGAAGCAGGACCCCACAGGTCTGAATATAATAACTCTAAAGGATGAGTACTTTTTAATGACGATGTTCCAAACGCGAGTCTATGACTTTATTAAAATGACATGAATTGTTGCAACTAAAACTCTCATTTGATGAAATAGGTAACTGTAATTTAGACAAAACATAACTAGAAATTTTTGAGGCTGGATGACCCAAGCGTTGACCCCAAAACAACGACGAATCACGATCACTAAGACAAGCTGTAGGACGAGACGAAGTAAAGCGATTCTTTGATAAGGACGAAAGACGATACAAGGAATTCTTAATTTGCCCCCTTGTGATTATCTCCCCCATGAGTTGATCGTTCACAAGAAAACAATCACAGAAAAATTCAATTGACATATTGTTAGCAAGACAAAACTCAGAAACGGAGACAAGATTTTCTTTAGACTTAGGAACACATAAAACATTCTTAAGCGAACATGATTTTAATGGAAAAGAATGAATTTTAGAACCAACATGTGGGATACGCAAACCTGATCCATCAGTTAAATGTAACTCATCAAGGCCATCACACGGAGTGTGCAAAGATAGATTCTGCAAATCATTAGTCACTCGGTGAGATGCTTCTGTATTAAGAACCCAGCTATTGCCTTGTGAACTGGTAGAACTAACATGATTCGCACGAGGTCAGGGAAAATTATTCTTGAAGAAATCCTTAGCACGGAAGCATTGACGAGCACTATGACCTGGTTGTTCACAAATTTGACACTCTATCTTTGAACCACCTGTTATATTTTTAGAATGAATAGAATGAGAATCGGAATCACATGATGACACGAAACCCTTGAGAAGCATCTAAGCCGTAACCTTGATTATCATTCTTTTAATTAAAAGTCCCTCTCTGAACATTATTTGCAGTGATTGGAACCAAATCAAAGGAGGGTGCTGCTCGCTTAAGATATAGCTCATGAGAGAGGAGCTTATCCTCAAGTTCTTCAAAAGAAATCATGGTATCTCTTGCACGGACTGCGGCTGCAATATACTTAAAATCACTCCCAATTCCATTCAGCACATAAATCACCAAATCAACAGTTGATACAGGACTCCCAAACAAAGCTAAATCTTCATAAATGGTTTTAACAATCTTCAAATACTTAGAGACAGATTCTGTTTCACGTTTCAAATTGGATAATTTCTCATGAAGAGAAAGAATCCTCATTGCAGACTGATTTGCAAATGAGGTTTGAAGCCTTACCCATGCATCAGCTGACGTTTCTGCAGATGAAACAACGTGCATCACTGAAAAGCTCTTAGAGGCTATGACTGCAGCCAATATTAATTGATCTTGGCATATCCAGAATTCATAATTGCTATTGCGAACATCCTTTCCATCTTGACGAACAAACAGAGAAGGAGGTAACAACGTTCTCTCAACATAACCGAGCAGGTTGTGACCATGCAAAACAGGAACTACTTGTGCATGCCATGTAGGATAATTTTGAGATGTAAGTTTCAATGGAAACTGAGATGAATTGAAGGAAATAAGAGTTTTGCCCAAAGAATGAACAGTGTTTGAGACATTCGAAGTAGAAGCCATTTCGAATGGAGAAGAAGAATTAAAAACGCTAAAAGAAAATGAAATAAGAATTTGGATCGGATAAAAATCGTAGTTTTTAGCGCTCTGATACCATAAAAGAGTAGAGAGAATAATTAAGGTTTGAACTTGTATTTCTATTAATGATTAACTCTCTTTAAATAGAGAGGTCTGTAAATACATTCAGTTACAAAAATATTATCATATAGCTGTACACTTATCAATATACACGGCAATTACAAATTCAAACTCAAGACTTATCACATTGCTTAACATCCTCCATAAATCTGTATATGGTTTTAAAACAAGTTCCTCAAACTTGGTTTGATGGCTTATCTCTATTTCTTCTCCACCTTGGCTTCTATTATAGTAAGGCAGATTCTTCTTTATTCATTTATCATCAAAATTTTGTTACAATATTGCTTCTTATATAGCGAGATAATATATTGATGACTGGAAATGATCAATCATTTATCTCTCACCTTATTTCTCAATTGAGTGTAGAATTTGCCATTAATGATCTTATAACTTTTAAGTTTTTTCTTAGGTGTTGAAATTAAACACTTCAATGGAGGGGTTATTCTCTCTTGAGGAAAGTACATGAAGGATTCCTTCATCAAATTGGTATGGCTGATTGTGCTCCTAATGCCACTCCTATGGTTCTCAAGGACAAGTCTTATAACTTACAAGAGCTTATAGATGTAACCTATTATATAAGTGTTGTCGATCCTCTTTAACACCTCACCTTCACTCGGCCAGACATTCAACATGTAGCAAATAAAGTTTGTTATCCAACAAAACTCCATCTCAGGGCAGTCAAGCAAGTTCTTTGTTATCTTAAAGGAACACAAAATTATAACTTGCATTTGAAATCTCAAAGCCCTCTATCCTTATATGCTTTTTCATGCTCTAATTAGGCAGGATGTCCATTGAAAAGATGAAGCAAAACAACTTTTTTGTCTTCTTAGGAGCAAATTGCATCTCATGTTGTTCTAAAAAGCAATTTACATTTGCTCAATCCAGTTCTGAAGCAGAATACAGGTCCATGGCTTCTGCCAACACTGAAATTGTGACATCCTACTGAGTCGAGTCATTTCATAGAGTCGAGTTGAGTCGGGCCAAACCAAACCCGGTTGGGGTAGAATGGGGTTATAAGTGGAGTTGTTTCTAAAAAAGGCCAATTTACATTGCTCAATCCATTCTGAAGCAGAATACAGGTCCTGGCTTCTGCCAACACTGAAATTTGTGCATCCCTACTGAGTGCGAGTCGATTTCATAGAGTCGAGTTGATTGAGTCGGGGCCAAACCAACCCGGTTGGGGTAGAATGGGGGTTTATAAGTGGACTTACTTGGTTGAGAGAAAGATCAAAAGCATATGGGGGACGATTTATTTTGCATTTAAAAGGACCAAGCTTGGGTTCTTTAAGTAGTTAACCTTTGTTGAACCATTGAGGTAGCCATTTAGAAGTTTCAATAAAAAATCTCATTGATATTTTGAATGGCCTACCCGTAATAACCATTTCACTTTCCCATTTTTCATCTTTATCTTTCATCTTCTTCATCTCCTCTCCCTTTCTCCATCCCATTTTCATTGGTAGTTAAGCCTTAACTTCAACTTCTTCGTTCTATCCAGTAAGAGTTTAAACTTCTTGAAGTTTCATAATTGGAATCATTTGGTGCTATTTTTTTAGAAATATTCATAAGATATATGTTTATAGGTGAAGTGAGTTCAAAGGTAGTAGAAAAGGAAAGTTAATAGAAGAAAGAGCTCAAGCTTTTTGGGTAAAGGTTTTGATATCTCGTTTCAGTTTTACCATTTTCTTTGCAGGAGAATTGTTTGTGTGGTGTTGGTGCTTAAATGAAGCAATATTGCTTCATGTTTGAGTGGGGAGGACTCGGTAAATGGTGAGGAAACAGGGGAGGTATTGAAATAAAGGAAGTTAAATAGTGGTTTTATGCTGAAACAGGTTTCTGGAAATTTTGATTAGCTAACTTCATCTTGATTTTGACCGCCATTTAATGATCGATTAGGAGTGTTATATAAGGTTATTTGTTCCTCTATGTGTTAGCTTTACATTTGGTTTTTGAATCATTCCAAATCGGAGTTGTATTGAGAGATATGACCAAAAGAGTACCAGGACTATGCAGGCTGGAAACGGACGCCGCATTGCGCGCGAATTTGCAATTGACGAGCTCAGCGACTTCGTGCCTGAAACTCACTGACTCTCATTTTGCATCTTGCGCTCGGCGGGACTTGCAAGGGCTACGCTCGCGAATTGTGTTTTCATGCACTTTTTGGACTTTTTTCTATGGCAATTGGATTCCTTTGCTCAACTTGTATGCCTCCAATCATTTACTACAAAAATACAACATTTAGAACATGTATCAAACAACGTGCAAGGCATACAAATGATGTGAATCAAATAAACATTTTGATTTAGGAAATAGAATCCTCATTAAGTAAGAAATCTTTTTGGAGATAGGAAATTGTTTAGGCTTTGGATTTCTTCTCAATTAGGACTCTTCCATCTGCCAAAACAGGATTAGATTTTGATTTGTATGTCAGGAAAGTATCTGAACTGAGCCCATGCAAGTGATAGAGACTGGCTGGGGTTCTCAACTTAAGACAGCACTTAATTCGCAGCACGGGCGTACTGTACGGCAAGGTCGGGGCATGCCAGAGCCTGAGTTCTAAGGATGGTTCAGCACGGGTCGTGCTCAACAGCACGTCTAGAGAAGAATCTGTGGCACGGGCGTGCCCCATAGCACGGCTAGGGCGTGCTAGGCTCTGAGTCTCTAGGATGAAATGCATCGCCTAAGCGCACCTTTGTGTTGATGTCCTCTTTAGGCACGGGTGTGCCAGATAGCACGGTCAGGGCGTGCTAGAGTCTGAGTCTCCACTTGATTTTCCTTGAGTCCAGTACGGGCGTGCTCAGCGAGTTACCTGTTTAACTCGCAGGTTTTGAGTTTGGACCGTAGAGAGTCAGCTTACAACTGCTGCAGTTCATCTGTAGAAGACTCAGTCTAGGGTAGCTACTCATTTGGATGTGTATCTTTTGTCTATCCTTTTCATGGCATGTAGATGGCACACAGTTGGGCCCATTTCATTTTGACATTAGTATCATGTCTTGTAAATATTAAATACATTATTAATGTAAACAACCTCAGCATGTTATTATATTCAATATACACTATGATTTCAGCATGACAGGATATAGCATGACAAGACATAAAGTCAACCAGTTTGTAGCGTCTCGGTTCGGTTCATTCGGGTTTACGGGTGGACCGGGAAGGGATGTTACAAAAATAACTTGGCTCAACTTCTTATTGTGAGACGTTGGCATTTCTTTAACTCATCCTCCTATATTATTTTGCGACAATCTTACTGCTCTCTATACGTATGTTAATCCTCTCTTTCATGCTCAAACAAAGCACATTGAAATAGATTACCATTTTGTTCGAGAAAAAGTAGCCATAGGTAATATAATCACACAATTTGTGCCAGATTCACATAAGATTGCAGATCTTCTTACAAAGCCTTTGCCAAAACGATCCTTTCTTTTCTTTTACAATAAGATGGGACTCTATTTACAAACCGTCTCCACCTTGAGGGGGGCTGATAAGGAAACAAAATTTGAGGCAAATAAGGAAGCAAAATTAGAGTTTCAAAAGAAAGAAAATTTGAAAATTGAAAAGAAGAATATCTTTACTAAAAATCAGGACAACGATCAAAATCCTATAGAAACTCAAGGTTGGAAATCAGTAGTCTGATATTGTTACTTTTTATTAATCAAAACATTCATGTATATATATTTGTCTTGTGTTAATATTCAAATACAATAGAGACAAATCAATTTATAGAAATTACAAAAGTTTTCAAAATAAACTTAGGGTTGTTGCACTCACACTAATCCCACTTCTGGAAACCATTGAAGTGATGTCTCACCAAGTGGCATGACATGATTTTATCATTTTTATCACTATGTTTTCTCTATGCATCTGCTATATATCAAGTAACCTTTAATTTTCTCTTCAAATTCATATTTAATATCTATTAATTATCAATGCATCATTTATTATCCTTGTGTTTTTTATGGTGTCATTTCCTTCAATAGAGTCAATTTTTATTCAATTTACTAGTTTTCTATGTTTATGCAAAGGTTGTTGATTTTGGGCTTTGATTTTATATGGTAGTTGATTTTGAAGTTAAACAAGACAACATGTAGAGAACAAGTGAAAAAGGCAGCAGGTTTAACACAACTTTGAAAATTCAAGGAGTAACATATTGTCTATATAGATAATATAAACAAAGGCAAAGTTCCCCTAAGTTTCTTTTTTCTTTTCTTTTTCTTCTCTTGAATTAAGATAGAAGTGTAACTTGATCCTCAAATATATTTTCTGTAAACTAAGAATCATGCACCCTAAATATTTTTTGGAAAAAATTAAGAATAAAAAAAATGAAGAATAGATATAAAGAACTATTATCAATAAATCTTAATTTTCAATTTTATATAAAATACATATCTTATAATAAAATAAAACACATAAAAGAAAAAAAAATTCAAAAATTAAGATATAGATAGAGATAATAAACGTATCGATAATATTTTCAAATAGATTAATAATTTCTGGGATAGCTATAACTTTAGTATCTCAACTTTTCATTTTTTTTTTTTTGCTACTTTAGTGTTTGAACAAAAAATACTATCAATTGAGTGCATGAACTTTTTAAAATTTACAATTATGTCTCAATCTGATTTGACTTGCCGAAAATATGATTATGTACTTGCGGGATCCAATTTTTCACATGTGGCAAACAAGGTGGCATAAATGATCTCCAAATTAGCTTGCCATATGAAGTCTATGTGGATATGTTATTAAATTCCTAATATGCCCTTTAAGCATGTTTTTTTCTTTTGCAATCACTTTCTCATTCAAGAACCCTAAAAATTGTTGCTACAGTCTTCTCCTTCACAGAAGAGGGACAACACCTTATGCTATAT